TTTTTTTTTTTTTTTTTTTTTTTTTACTGTGCGTATCCTCGCGTGAGCTACGGATCCAGCAGAAAAAGATGTGAAAGAAAGAGAAAGAAAGGGACGAGGATTGAGGGTGGGGACGGTCAAAGAAAGTGATCAATTTTTGGATTAAGAGGGGGGGGAAGGGGAGGGAGAAAGGCTGCGAGCGCAGCCAAGTTAGCCGGCATTTACACTTCGTTGATGTGCTGCTGTACAGAAAAGCCCCTGGCACGTGCGAGAGAACACGTGGCGCGAGATCGGCGATCGCCCGAATAATCCATCGTCGCAGCGACCGATTTCTTGGACCCGTCAGCACCAGATGGGTCTCCGTATACGGCCTCCGCTCCCGCTTAACTGCTGCAAAGACCAGGATATGCGTGCCCACCAACCTCGCCGCTGTACATCCGTCGAATGGAGGCTGTAAGAACGCCTCCCATGCCGGATCAGGACGCGGCGCCCCCTCGATGGCCTCAAGCCGGATGGTGGCCAGCTCCACCATGTGATCGACGTCGGTCTGATGGACCGTCCGGTTCGGGGGAACTGCTAATATCAATGACCGGGGTATCCCGGGGGGGTGGCGAAATCGGAACGGTCCTGCGAGGAGGGGGGGTCTGGATGCGGGATATGGAACTCGTCCCAATCCCCGTCCTGCTCCTTACGGCCCGGCTCCATTGCTATTGAGATCGGGGAGGCGGGGCCGGTGAGGCGCCGACTCCTGATGGCCTCTGGATCTCCGCGGTCCTCCCCCGGCCGGGGTCCGATGATGAGGGTGGCGCTTCTCTCAAGAACCGGATCGACCCTGCGCACCGGCGCAGGCTGGGCAAACTCCTCAACAGGCCCCACCCGACTGCCTTGAGCTTCTGGCGATGGACTTCGCCACCGCTTCGGGACGGTCTTCTTTCTCGGTGCCTTCAAGGCCGTCGGCTTCGGATACGATGATGGAGGCCGCAACGGCCTGTCTTTGCGCCCGAAGTCCACCACAGACTCTCCCTCGCGTGCCAGGTAATCAGGTCTCACTGCTGCGTTATACGTTCTGCACGGGGCGGAGGCAGTCCGCAGTCTAAGCTGCAGGTCTTCTTCGTCGGCGGCGATTACCTGCGCAATGGACAGCAGCTCGATGTGGATGAGCTGCAAGAGCCCCGACCGATTCGTTCCGATCCTTCCGAAAAGGTAAAGCGCCACCGTTCCCTCCTTCCGCTCCGGCTTCGGCTTGGTAATTACGTAGTATATGTCCAGAAACTCGCCGATGTTATGGATTTCGTGCTCCACGAAGAATGTAAACATGCCCAAAACCACCGACGAATACAGTGCCTGATGCAGTTCCCACGCGTCCTTGTCAGCGGGCGGCAACTGCTCAACGTCCGTCAACTCCACCAGGTACTCCAGGAAGTTGCGCATAGGATAGGGGAGCTGCGTCAGTTGGTAAGGAAGGGTAGTGTAAGAGAAGAAGGGAGGCATTTAGAGAGAAGGGGGAGGGACAGCTTGGATGTTGAGGGGCTCGGCGGGAGGGAGGAGCGCGGGGAGCTGCGGCACCAATGCAAGTGCTCCCTCCGGAGCTCGCCGCAGAAGTCCTTCGTATGTGGTGAAGCGATGAGTGCCCCTCGCCTGCACTCGCGCCACCGATCTAGCCACCTGGAGGGCGTAGTCGCGCAAGAACCTGTACGCCGGCTCCCGATCGTGCCCTGGCAAGACGGTTAAATCCTCGATGAAAGTAGCGATACTGTGCACGAAGTTCGTTGCCACTTGGATGGCTCGGAACTCGATGAACACTCCCGTGGACTCCTGACCAGGCACTGGCGATATGTCCACATAGACACCCGCGTACGTCACACGTTGCGCAAGGAGCGAGTACACCGCCAAGTCAGCAACGTTGGGTGCCGACACGTTCACCCGTTGAATGTCAAAGCGCAACTGCCGATCGTCGTTGAACCGGTTCCGCAGAAGAGCGTCCGAGATGGGCGGCTGGAAGTGCTCGAGCAGTTCATGCTCCTATTGGAGATGGTTCATCTTGCGAGGCAAGGTCTTCCACGGATGCCGACGACGCTGATCGGAGAGAAGGGGAAGAGGGAGGCGAGGAAGAAGGAGCAAGAGAGAGGGAAGAAGAAGAAGATTCGGAAGGGACAGGTGGCCGCACGAGATTCAGCGATGGCCGAAAAGGTCGAAGAGCAGCAGCATGCCTCGTCAGCGGGTGGCCTTGCGAGTTGTGCCAGGGAACCAGCTTTACGGAGTGTTGGCCTTGTGCGCCAACCTCCGTCACCTCGTAAATGCCTGTGTAGCGTGGGTGGATCTTGGAGGAGCGCGCAGATTTCCGTACCTGCGCCCAACTTTATAGCGAGGTAGTAGTCCCGCGAACGCATGTCGGTTCTCGTAATCCCGGATCTGTCGTTGATGCGTCCAATCCACGGCCCTCTGTCGTCGCCGGGCTAGCGGAGGATAGGGCCTAGCCATTAAGTCCATGTAGTGACGGGCCTTATCCCTGTGCTGGGCCCGGGTTGCTCTAACTTCCGTACCTACCAAGGGCGACAGTTGTACCCGAGGGACACTGTTGGTTCTCAGTTGAAAGGGGGACACTCCGGTGCTACCGTTTGGGGTAGCCCGATAGACGACCAGGATATGATCGACAATGACAGGCGAGGGCCGTGTGTCCCCAGCCGTGATGTTTCGTCTGAGAGCGGTCTTAATTAATCGATTGGCGTTCTCTACTAGGCCATTGGCTTTTGGCCAATGTCCTCGTGAGTATAAAATCTTGACGTCGGCCCTTACTAAGTGACGTTCCACCTCGCCTTGAAATTCAGACCCGTTATACATGTGTACCTCTTCTACGTCTAGGTGCATGCACAAAAAACGATTTATATACCAGGCTACTTCCACGGAGTTGTGACTAGTCATTGGATAGGCCTCGATCCACTTGGAAAAGTGATCGACGACCACTAAAAGAACGTTGTGCTCCCCTTGATCGACGGGACCTCTCGGCACGTTGATATCCGTCGTATCGATACTGACCCGCTGAAAGGGGCGTTCTACTCGAGTGGGCACCATTGTCCGGGGCATCTGTACCGGCGCCTTGTCAGCCGCACAGGCCGGGCAATTCTGGACGATGTATTTCACATCTTCCCGAATTCCAAACCAGTACCATCCATTCTTTTCGATGGTTTTTTCCGTGTACTTGACCTCAAAGTTGACCGCATCCTCTTCATGGGCTGCTCGGGTCCAATCGAACCTCGCGAGAGGATGCAGAACCGTCTGCCAGCTAGACCCTCCGTCATCATCGTCCTTTCGCTTCTGTAAGGTCGATTCCTGCCAACGGTAATCATGCGCCCGTTCCGTGACTCGCCGTCGTTCGACTTTAGTTAGTTCTGTCAGCGGATCGCCTGTCAATCTTCTCAGTAACAGAAGATCCGTCCAGACTTCCGCACGGCGGACACTTGGCAAAAGTTCGTCGGCCGTCCGCGCGTCTAGATACCTTTTCTCGGTAGGGACGTGGTCCGTTCTACAGTTCGGATCGACCCATTTCTTTTCACTCTGGTATCTAATGCAGTGTTCGTGGGACCGAACGATTTTACATTGGCTACATTGCGCCCACGAAAGAAAACTAGGCCCTCTCGGATGTGACCCTTCCCGATCCGGGATCATAGGTAAGGTGCAGAAGAAACAAGGATTCGGACGTGACCCGGAGAGGGAGGAGGAAGAGTTGGGAATAGACAAGTGAGTAGGAGATCTAGACGAAGGCGAGGAGGCGGCAGCTGCAATCTCTGGCAAGATCTCCATCTCAAATTTATGCGGTGTTCTAGCGCAACACGTGCCGCTCCCCGTAGCGTGGTTCCGTCGGGGCTGGCTCCGGCTTCCACGGAATGAGTCGCTCGTGGGCGGGACACTTGTTGGGCGGCTGGAGGCGCGTCAACCCATCTGCATTTCCGTGCTGCCGAGTGGCGCGGTGACGGATGTCGAAGTCGTAGTCCTGCAGACGCACCCCCCCTCTCCCCAGTGTTCCCGTGTAATCCGTGTTGTTGCGCAACGACAACAACGGCTGGTGATCCGTCACGAGCACGAATTTCTGGTCGTAGAGGTACGGTCGGACATGCTAAATCCCCCACACCACCGCCAAGCATTCACCTTTGCACGCTTCGTAGTTGGACTGCGCTTGGCTCAGGGTCTTCGATGCGTATTCAATGACTCGCTCCTTGCCGTCTGCTCCTTGCTGAGTCAGGACTGCTGACATCGCCTGCGACTGCCAATCCGTATGCAGGGCAAACGGTTTGGTCGGATCAGGTCTGGCCAGGATGGGCGTCGTTGTCAGGACCTTTTTGAGCGCCCGAAAAACCTCCTCACATTTTGGCGTCCAGATCAGCTGCTCTTCCTTCTTCAATAGATTCGTTAGAGGCTTTGCCACGCCGGCGAACCCCTGGATGAAACGCCGGTAGTAGTATGCCAGCCCTAGGAAGGCTCGAACCTGAGTGGGCGTGACCGGAGATGGGGCTTCTTGTACCACTGCCACCTTCCTTGGATCCGGCTTCAGTCCGTCGGTCGTGATGATGTATCCCAAGAATGAGATTTCAGACAGAAAAATCTCGCTTTTCTCCAACGCCACTTTGAACCCCGCATCCTTCAGTGCATGCAAAACCCACTCAACGTGTTCCACGTGGTACTCATGTGTTTTAGAAAAAACCAAAATATCATCCATACACACAATCACACAGAAGTTGATCAGGGGCTTTGTCAACCGGGTTTTGTTAACGAACTCGACGAAGGCCATGTTCATAGCCCGCTGAAAGGTCGCGGGGGCGTTGCATATCCCCATGGGGCATCGGATCCATTGCCACGTGCCCTCGAATAAGACAAAAGCGGTTTTGGGCCAGTCTTCCGGTCGGACCGCGACATGGTGGAAACCATGTCGAATATCGAACTTCGAGAAGACTCGAGCGGATCCGATGGCATCCAACAAATCATCGAAATGAGGCAGCGGGTAAACATCCTTGGTGGTAATAGCGTTTAGCTTTCGGTAGTCGATGCAAACACGGACCGATCCGTTTATTTTCGGCACAAGGACCATAGGAAAGGACCAGGGTCCGAGTGAGGGTTCAACCCACCCCAATCACTCGAACTCCCGTACCCTTTCCAGAGCAAACTGTCTTTCCTTCAGGGAGTAGCGGTATGGTCGACAGTGTATCGGGACGTGATCCTCGGTATCTACGGCGTGTTGAATCTGGTGTGTCAGTTCGATATCATGATCGTGGGTACTGACCGCCTTGGGGTACGCCCGTATTACCGCCAGCAAGAGGCGCCGGTACTCGACAGGCACATGGACCGGTAATTGAATATCAACGGCTCCAGTGGAAAAGGAAACCGTCTCGGTAACTGTAGGTACCAACGCACTCTTCTCTCGGGAAGCGCCAAACAGGGAGTTGTCGGTTTTCATCGAGAGTACGCTTGCGATAAGTTGACTGTCTGCCTGGCTGATTGGGTCTTTTTCGCCACCGTCTTCCCGTTCGATTTCGGTAGAAGGTTCTACCGAAAAGGCCTGGGAAAATTCGGTCGGTCCCCATCGGTTTCCTGAGGACGTGGGTTGAAATGACACCCCTTCTTTCAGAAGAGACGCGGCCTTTGCATTGGTCAGCAGGGGTCGCGGCGGATTGAAAGATAGATCACACAGTCCTCGCAGCTCCGTAAAGCGTTCAGGGAGGGGGTCCGTTTGGAGATAGAGGGGCGCAGGGGGTTCCAAAAGGTCAGCTATTCGGGACACCCGCAACAATGGCTCACCCTTAAGGGTAGAGGAGTACGCCTGGGACCACCTAGACCCACTTCGAGTATCGAAAGGGGAAGGCCTCGAAAGCAAACGCCACCGGTCCTGAACTCGGATCGGATAGCGGTCAGGTTTGTCCAACCCCTGGGTCTCGACCGAGGATCCATTTTCGCTCGAAACGAACCGTCGGATCATATTAACTTGGTGAACTTCAGTGGAAATGCGAGGAGCGGGTTGCGACCGTACACGTACACCTAACCGCATCGGTATTGTTTGAGGTTTGGGGTGGGCCGATGTCAGCACCACTTTCGCACTGTCAAAGTGCATTCGAGCTCCAATCGCCGCCTGCCACGGAATTCCTAGGAGCACATCATACGCTTGCACATCCAATACAATTGCATCATAGAGACAATGCACCCGCCCAACCCGTAAGGGCACATTCGTGATTCGCCCTTTGCAATGAATATTGTCTTCCGTAGCTGATACATACAGTTCATCGGGTCGGAGGGGCTGGATTTGCCCCTCCCGACCTAATCGTTTGGTTAGAGCCCAAGAGATAGCCACGACCGACGATCCGGAATCGAGGATGGCAACTGAGGGGCTTCCCCAGACCTCGCAGTCACACTCAACGCTCTTCCAGGTTATCGGATAGCTGTGTGTCCGAAATCCGATTCAACGGGGGTTTGGAGTTGAATGGTTCAACTCCCGTTGAACACCCGATTCAACTCCGCGTTATACCCCGTTACAACGTGGTACAACTCGGCCCGCGGAATTTTTTTTCGCCGCCAAAAAATAACTAAAAAACAATAAAAAACTATGGGGGTGTAGCTTTCTTTCCTCTCTACATCCCCATATTTTTATTTGTTTTTTTTAGGAATTTAAATTATTTTTAAAAAATAAAAAA